CCTCACTGAATCTCTTATCAACCCACAAGATCTGTTTCTACATGAAGCCTTCCTGTTTGATCTGCGAAATCCATTGAAGGAAACATTCGCCCCTCGGCCGCGCTTTGCAATCGAGCGCGCTCTGGCTACTCCTTTCGATTACCTACTTTCTTCCTCGGATGTCACTATGACAAAGGTCTCGTCCAAGCAACCTGCCACCGCAATTCTTTATCAATTGTACCTTGATTCGGGCGCTCTGGTGAATGTTCATGATCTTTGGCAGGCTTTCTACGGTGTATTTGAAACCGAAGAAGCCGATGGTTGCGATGACCGAGTCGTCATGTCTTTGTTCTATAGCGCTCTTTCAGAATTGAAGACATTCGGTGTGATCAAGAACAGTCGGAAGAAGACTGACCACTTGGCCAAATCAGCATGGATGGGACTTTAGTTCTATATCGAGGTTCAAATACAATTCATGGTGTATCATATTTCTGGCGTGGGGTATCATTGACTTAAAATACAGTAGCTGCCTGGTTTTGAGACAGAGACTTGGTTGTCTGTTTGCAAGGTTGAAGATCATAAAAAGCACAAACTTACCGAGATCAATCAATAGGTCGTTGAATTATGTCATCGTTGCCGATTGGCCGTCCACCATCGCTCAAGACCATCGCTTCTCTCCTGCGCCGGCGAAGCGCTTGTTCTTCGACACTCCCCTCCTGAGGTCTACGCGGAGTTCGTCCAAAGATACCTCCTGCCTCATCAGCATCTACCATCCACACATCGCTGTCCCCATCATCCTCATCATCGTGATCATTTTCTTCAATCATGCTGCCCATCAGTCCATGTTTCCGCAGTTGCTTGATCCCATCCGGATGCGAGGAAAGCGCACTGAAGATTGCGCTCATGACTATGTCGTCCGACCACCAGGTTTTCATGAGAATCACCACATCCCGCCGGCGGGAAGGCTCAGCTATTGCACACGGGAAAGGATATCTGCAGAGCCATCGAGTGATGATCCCCGCTTCTAATGCGTCCGGTATGTTTTCTGACAACAAAACATTGAGAATAATCAACGCCTTCTTCTCTCCCATTGGCCGTGTCTTTGGCAAAATGGGCGAATTGGTCGTAGACGTCTTCTCCACGTGTTCTTCTAGTAAGTTGCAAAGGCAATTGATAATGGCCGTAAAGGTGGGTACGTCAGCGAGTCGAGTGCAAATGGAGGTTCGAGTGACTGCAGAATAGTATAAGCATCCATGAACTGTCAAAAGGAGGCAGATGGGTAGCATACGGGCACGGTTGGAAACTAAGAAGTTCAATGCATTCAAAGCTCGCTGCTGGTGAACTTTGTTCCTAGATGACAGTTCCTCCAATAACAAATCACGAGTATCTCCCTTGGTACATCGTTCTGAAATGATGCGCAGGGCCCTGGAAAGTATTAGCTGATGCATCAATTGAATTGAGAAGTTGTCATCTTGGCGTACGCAGCTCGTAGGTCATGGCTTGTGCTTTGAGAAAGCTTCAAGAGGGTGTCCAACTTGAGAGCTATAAGATTGGTTAGTATATCGAACTGTTGCATGTAAGTCTCTACCCACCTTCTTCAGTTCCCTCGCTAATGATCTTGTCTTCCTTCTCAACGTGTTTGATCTCTGTCAGATCAACGACTTGACGGAGGTCTGTGGCGATACCGCGAATGGCAAAGAATAGTGAGACGCCTAACTGGGTTAATCATCTGAGCCGAGCTCGTCACCTCTGGTAAATGTATTCATACCTAGGCAAAGCCATAGCACACCATCCCCGGAAAAGGGAGCCATAGCGATTGTTAGAGCTGGAGATAGCGGAGAAAGCAATCGGCAGAATCCTGATCGGCGCAGGCCGCGGAGGCGGTGTGCCTGATTTTTTTTGATGAGAATCGCGATGGGGAAAAATACTCCCAACTCTCCAATTCAAACTCCAACCACAAACAATGCCGCCTTCTCAGCTCAAACAGCTGAAGGCTTCGCTTCGTGAAAATGGAGTACTTGGTCCTCAGAAATCCAAGAAAGAAAAGCGGCAGAATGCGAAGACTGGAGTTGGTGCGAAGAACCGCAACCAGCGCGAGGTCGCCTTGCAAGCCATCCGAGATCGGTTCAACCCTTTCGAGATCAAAACGATAAACAAATCCAGCAAGTTCGATGTCACAACCAGAGATGGCAACACGACCGCTGGCGGTGGCGCTCGCCCAGGTGTTACCAAATCACTGGGTGAAGAAAGAGTACGTTTATCTGCTTTCCTCAATTTCTACGATTCCAAGGCTGACTTCTATTAGCGACGTGCCACTCTCTTGAAAGAGATGAACAGCCGAAACAAGATTGGTGGACTTATCGATCGCCGGTTCGGTGAGAACGATCCCACCATGACACCCGAGGAACGGGCCGCCGAGAGATTCGCAAGAGAGAGCCAGAGAAAGATGCGGAAGGAATCCATGTTCAATCTCGAGGACGATGATGATGAGATGCAGCTTACTCACATGGGTCAATCTTTGTCATTCGATGGAACAACCCAAGACGACTTCGAGGCCGGAGACTTAGATGGTGCGGATTCTGACGAGGAAGCGTCGCGGAAACGGAAGCGATTCCACGATGACGATGAAAATCAGGATCAAGGTCAGGATCAGGAGGATTTCATCGATTATGGAGACGAAGAACAGCCAGGGCGCAAAAAGACCAAGGCCGAGGTGATGAAAGAAGTCATTGCCAAGTCCAAGTTCTATAAAGCGGAACGCCAACAGGCCAAAGATGAGGACGAAGACCTGCGCGAAGCATTGGACAAAGAACTCCCTGATCTTTTCGACGCTCTGCGGGGCATCAAGCCTGCAATCAAGGCAGGAAAGCCAGAAGCACCAAAGCACGACTTCTCGGAAATGAACCCAGAGCGCGCCGCCATGCTGGAAGAGTCGCAAAACAGCAAGGATCCTGAGAAGGAATACGATCAGCGCCTCAGGCAGATGACATTCGATCAGCGATCGAGACCCACAGATCGCACGAAGACTGAGGAGGAGAAGGTGGAGGAAGAGGCTGAGCGACTCAAGAAACTTGAGAACGATCGCCTTCGACGAATGCGTGGAGAGCAGCTAACTGATGATGAGGAGGACAATATGGACCAGGATGATATCCCCGAGGATGACGAGTCGGAAATTGACGATGCTGCGCATTTCGGTCTTCCAGCTTACCCTACTGAATCACGCCCTGAACTCGGCGTTGAAGATGAGGATGATTTCATCATCGACGAAGATCTGGTCGAAACGAATTCAAATGCCAGTCTCGACATGGGTGACAGTGACAGTGACATGGAAGAGGAGGAGGAGTCGAGCGAAGAGTCTGACGGACCAGATGGGGAGGACGAGCTCATCAACGGAATGACGCTACCGACCGAGGATTCTGCTGCCGCTTCGACTGCTGCCGAGGTTAACAAGGAAGCAAATGGAAAGCTTGCATTCACATATCCTTGTCCAAAAGACCACGAAAGCTTCCTGAGTATCACCAAGAATGTGTCTGTTGAGGAAATCCCGACAGTCATTCAGCGCATTCGAGCATTGCATCATCCCCGGCTTAGACCTGGCAACAAGGATAAGCTGGGTCGATTTGCTGAAGTTCTTGTTGAACATGTTTCTTACATGGGCAACAAGACTGAACAGCCTCCATTTGCCATTCTCGAGAATATCATTCGTCACATTCATTCTTTGGCTAAGACTCATCCTTTGAACGTGACAATCGCGTGCCGAGCGCAACTTCGTGAGATTGGCAAGGAACGCCCACTCAATCTGCTACCCGGTGACCTCGTCTTGCTTACCGGCCTCTCAACCTTCTTCCCCACATCAGATCACTTCCATACGACGGCCACACCCGCTCATCTCTGCCTGGCGCGGTACCTGGGCCAGTGCACCACCAGTTCACTCGCAGACCTCGCAAGTGGCACATTCGCCGCAAGTCTTTGCCTTCAATATCAAATGGCATCGAAGCGATATATGCCCGAGTTTGTCAACTACACTTTAAATGCTCTCTGCAATCTTGCTCCTACGGAGCCAATTGTCAAGTTCGGAGCCTTCCCCTACAGAAAGTCACTGGAGTCTGTTCAGCTCCTACCCTCCAAGAAGGTCACACCTCGCAAGCTGCAATTCCGCGATGTGACCGTCTCTCCTTCTGATCCCCAGGCCCAGGAGGAACTCAAGCTCTCCCTCCTCATTACTCTCGTGTCTCTACTTGGTTCCGCTTCCGACATCTGGGCTGAGAAATCCGCTTTCACCGAGATCTTCACACCGGTCCGTGCCGTTCTGCAGTACCTCCGCCAATCTCTGAAGACCAAGGTATACTCAGCAGCCTGGGGGCCAATCTCGAGCGTCTTGGACAAGATCGATGCCCACCTCGCACAGGCTCGTCTCGTTCGCCGCCCGTTGTTCCTGCACAATCACAAGCCCCTCGCCATCAAGACAGCCATTCCGAAGTTCGAGGAGAACTTCAATCCAGACAAGCACTACGATCCAGACCGCGAGCGTGCCGAGTCCAACCGCCTCAAGAAGGAGTTCAAGCGCGAGCGCAAGGGTGCCATGCGCGAGCTCCGCAAGGATGCCAGCTTCGTTGCTCGCGAGCAGCTACGCGAGAAGAAGGAGCGCGACTCCGAGTACGAGAAGAAGTACAAGCGTCTTGTTGCGGAGATTCAGAGCCAGGAGGGCCGTGCCGCCAACGAGTACGAGCGGGCGCGTGGCAGGCGGTAATTTTGCATCTTCGTAATTTGCATTTCAACTTCTGTTCAACGTCTGTTTTTCATATATCACACTTGGTTGCACATCCTATTGGGCTGATATATACATCATTGGCGTAAGGCTGGGAATAAAAGTCAAGTTCATCGAGATCTACAAGATCTACAAGAAATGTCCGCTAGTCCATATTCAGTAAAAGAATCGACTAGTCAAAAGCTTGAGTAAATCAAGGTTACCCACAGATCTATCTACTTCCCAGAGGGTATATATTTATATATTATATATGCTACTGCTTCAGATCAACCCCAATGCTAGTCAAATATTTACATCGGTTTCTTTGTTCCTGTGACACCGTCTCCATCTTAGTCTTGTTGGTTCGAATGAAGATCCGCCGGTATCCTTTACCATCTTGACCCCAAGTCTCCCATTTTGGACTGGAAGGAAGACGTCTAGTGTTCGGATCCAGAGACGTTATGAAGCTTGTCCAGTAACCTTGCATCACAGGCACAATGTCTGCGTTGGTGGTGTAGTATGAGTCTGGAGCGTGATTGTTGCCAGTATTAGTCGGACCCCAGATCGCATTCACTTCGACGGTGTGATATGTGCCCATCCCCGAGCTCTCATTCGTGGGATCCTGAACTGCATAGTGGTAGTTCCAGCTTGGGACGCCTGCCGCTGCATAGACAGAGGACATGTCAATTCCGGGACAGACGTAGCGCATTTCACCATACGCCGTGCTTGCCGGTCGCCAGTAGGGCCCAGTGCCAGGGAATTCCTCCGTCTGGTTTTCAGTCAGATATATGCTGTTAATCCTGGAGATATGGGCTTGTTTTATTGATGGGAATTGATTCCGAATAAATGTATCTGCCGCGTCGACACTGGCAGTACTCTTGGGAACGAAGGTCGTGCCTTCATTGGTGTCATCGCCAAATATCACTGGTACCTTGATGAATTTGCCTTCGTGGAAGAGGCGATACGTGTAGTCTACCACCAGGTCCTCGTCAATTGTGGGACCGTACTGGAACAAGGGCTTGCCTTTTGCTCCCGGGTAGGGTCTATTGACATTCTTCTGCTGCAAAGCATTGACATCGAGGTTGCGCAGACATGCCAGGGTATTTTGACTACTGTCACACGCAGCCGCAATTGCCAGTGCGTCGTATGCAAATTGACTTTCGGAGACGTTGAGCATATGCCCAAAGCTTTGTGATTCTGCTGCCGCTGCAACAAACAGGCCGTCATCTCTGCCACCATATGCCGAGAGCATGAGAGTTATTGAGGCAGCACCTGCACTATCACCACCGATGACAACATGCTTAGGGTCTCCACCAAACTAGAGACAGTTTCAAAAACCGAATGTTAAATAACGAACGAGAACGAAAGAGCAACTCGACCTACCTTGCTGATATGCTTCTGAACCCACTTCAATGCTTTGCGTTGGTCTTTCAGACCATTGTTTAGACTCGCTCCCTTTTCAACCTCTTTCCCAGCAAGAAACCCGTAGGGACCAACCCGATAGTTAAAAGTAACCACCACCATATTGTTTCCGGATGCATTGATCAACCCAGTGCCATTGTAGTTGGCATTTGCATTTCCCGCGAAGCCTCCCCTTGGATAAAAAAGTAGACAGGTAGCTTCTTCGATTGTTCTGCAGCTTTGGGGGCATATATATCTAAAAACAGGCAGTCCTCTGAAGTTCCTGCTGGGACTGCCCGACCTTCACTTCCTGCCGTGGGTATGCATATACTTCCATGCTGATAAATAGTCAGTGGCTACCCGTGTGTGAATGGACGCAAGAGATACCTACCTCAATTGCTTGCTGGATTCCTTTGACAGACAAAGGGTCTTGTGGAGCAGCAAACCGCAGTTCTCCTATAGGAGGAGCAGCGAACCGCATACCAAGCCACTGTGTGACTCCGCTAGATAGTGTGCGGCCTTCATAGCTAGCATATCCCAGGTCTACCACCGTAGAAGCTGAAATCAGGGATACCAGAGAGCAGATATACAAGAAAATAATCATGACGGCCCACAAACTGATTGTGAATCGGTCGATGCCATGGCTTATAAATGGCCGTGTGATAGAAAAGTCCTTGTCCATCGAAGTCACGGTGACAATGCAGTCTGGGGCACGAGGGAAAAGCCCTTGCGCCACTGTTTCTCCATTGAGATATGCTTAATAGACGCTTTCAGGGATATATCACATGTACTGCAAGGGGACTCTACAGGGAAAAAGCAATGCCCATGAAAAATATGGGGGATTTTTAGCCGACAGTTAGACTAATCACAGGTGGGTAACAGAAATATCAAGTCCATGATATAGTTATTTTGCAATAGTAATGTATTTATATACACTCTATATCACTTTTTTAAAAGACAGTGAGACATTGAAAGACATCTGAAACCATGTCTAACCATGTACGGAGTACGAAGTAGACAAAGACATATTCTAGGCTATAGGTACCTTCCAATCATATTTCCCCAGATGATTATGCTCTACATTTACTATATTATAGATACCATCAATGTTATTAGAAGAGTGTACAGAGTACCTATACAATATATAGCCGGAGTATAATCCAAGGCTATCGTAGCGTATTACATAAGCTCTGCAATATGAGCCCCACTGGAGCTCCCCGCAAATCCCAAAGCGTCTTGTGCGTTTGCGGGTTTATCTTTCTTCCTCCTTGACTTCCCTTTCCCTTCCCTGACTTCTATTACTCTTGACACAATGGCTTCTGAAGATGAGGATGACTATATGAACATGGTGATTGAGGAGCCTATTCAAAAGGAGACCTTCACACAAAAAAAGCGTCGCGAGCTACGAGAGGTACCTTATCCTCCACATTATAACCTGTCTCCGGCTAAGTGTCAACCCCCACTCTAACATTCTATTCCATATTCAGGCCGAAGCCAGGGGCCGAGTCCCGTCCAAAGCCGAACGCGCTGCTCAAGAAGCTGCCCGCCGAGAGGAAGCCTTGGCCACAAGCACCCTCAACCCCACCAACAAAGGATTTCAAATGATGGCAAAGCTCGGCTTCAAACCTGGTGGGGTGCTTGGCAAACCTGCTGCAGCCAGCGATTCCGATACTACCCATTCTTTCCTCAAATCACGCGCTGAACCGCTGAACCTAACCTTGAAAGAAAACCGCGGCGGAATCGGGTTGGACACGGAGAAAAAGCGCAAGCTCCGGGAGGAAGCAGAAGAAGCAGTGAAGAGGATTAAGCATGAGGAGGGAAGTTACCGAGATCGCGTTCGTGAAGAGCGTGAGTTAAAACGCCTTGAAGCGCAGGTGCGCGCTGCACAGAAAGTTGCAGAGAGGCTGGATGCAGAAGCCGAGGGTGAGGCTTCTGACAAAGAGAAAGAACAGGGAATGGGCTCTTCAGCCAAGCTTAACAAAGAAGATGGCAACTCCACAGATCCCAGTCAACTACACGACGACCCCGACGCAGCCCCGACAAAGAAGAAGCCAATCAAGCTCACATCCCACGTCAATGTCCTCTACCGCGGTCTTATCCGTGAGCACGAACGGAACGACAGTGACCGCCAGACACGCCATGCTCTCCAATCTTCGCTCCCTTCATCATTTTTTCCCAAAGCACGGCTACCAGAATACGATGACCCGACTATGGACCGGGAGGATAAAAAGGCCTTTGGCGGCGAACTGGATCAAAATACATCCACGCTGGAGATAGAACTGGATGAAGACGACGAGGAGCTCGATGCGTTTAATGCGTTAGAGCCAGCTGAGCGGCTACACAAGCTGGTTCTCTTTCTGCGCGAGAAATATCGGTATTGCTTCTGGTGTAAATATGCCTACGAGACGGATCTTGAGCTGGAAGGGTGCCCTGGCCTGACCGAGGAAGATCACGATTGATCTATCAGAGTTGTTTGTACCATATGGGATTCTGCTTGACACGGCTGACGATTTGGCATCATACCTAGCACATAGCCCCGAAGCTTGACGACTCTGTATTTCTACGAGATGCTACACTTATGACACAATTGCGAAAGAGAAAAAAAAAAGTGTTTCATTATAAACATGCAGCTTCGATCTTCCTGGCTAAACCATAATATACATGAGGTCCTTGGTATCATAAAAAATGGCACACAGATTAAAAAAAAAAGGGAGGAAAAAGGAAAAGAAAAGAAAAGAAGAGAGAAAAACAGAGACCAGAGACCAGAAAACGTAACTAACAACCTCAACAGGGACTGTACTTCCCGCGCAAGAAATCATGCAATATATGCTGAGATCATTCATGCAAGCGTACCATAACACCTCAAGATGAAAAGGATGACAAATCAGACAGCGATTCGATCAACCAGCTCTTCCACCGAGCGATTCTTGCATTTCTGCAAGGTCTGATAGCAAGATTCGCAAATGCGCAGACAGCAAAACACACAGCGGTGACGGATCTCCAAGTCAAATTTTTGACAGGTCATGCACGGAATCGGACACCACGTGTTCTGTGCCACGGGCATAGCACGATGCTGCTGGTAGCATGTGAGGTGTATCTCGTTCAAACTCGGCGCCACGGGTTCAACATCCGGTGGGACGAATGGCGAGGGGGCTAGCTCTTCGCGCGACAGTTCTGGTACTGCTAGTGGCGGTTCAACGCTGTCCGGAGTTGGGATAAAGTCTTCCAGTTGGGGAGAGTTGGGCTCATTTGCTGGAATCGGAGCAGGCGCAGGAGCAGGTGCTGACACTGGGATTGAAACTGGAGGAGCTGAAGCCGGAGCCTGGACTAGAGTCGACGCTTGGGGGGAGACGGGGTCACTGGAGTTGGCTGTGGAGGCGCATGGAAATCGGGTTGCGATTTCTTGCTTCGCATACCGGTCGTGCGAGAGGGAGGAGATTGCGTTGGGACGGGGACCCGTTCAATTGGGCGTCGTTCTGGGACTGGGATCGGAGGGAAGTATGGGTTGTTGGATGCGTTTCGTGTTTCCTGATTCGGGGGAAGGGGGAGTTCCTTGTCCGGCGGAGGGGCCGGCTTTGGTGGTGGAGGAGCAGGGAAGGCTGTCGGTTTCGACTCGGACGGCGAATCGGATTTCTTGAAGGAGAATTGCGATTTGGCTGCTGAAGACTTGAGTCCTGCGAGAGAAGGCACCCGAAGGCCACGAGGGCGTTTCTCTGTATCGAAGATTGCCATGGTGTATATAAAACTCCAAAGGGATCAATCTCTTTTTAAGAAGAAAAATGATCGAAAACAAGAAATTCAGTCAATAGCCGATCCATCATATCTTGGAATTAATCCTAGTGAGCATTCCCTTCTATTGGTTGATCCATAGCCTCTAGGGCTCCTCCTAATCTACGATGTTTCAGGGAATTTTCGATCTACAAATATACAGCCATATATACGATGTTGAATCAAATTGATCCATCTGCTATCAGTATCGGAGTACTCCGTTCATACTTGGATTATTGTGTTTATGTTACCCCTGAGCTGATGTACATTCCATATCATATGCTAGATGTCGATCTCAAATTCCTACATTCTGCATTCACAGGTCTAATCTTGGAATAGATTCCAAATACTGTAGCTCGTATTTTAATTATTTTTAACCCAAATTCAAGATTCTGCAACAGGAATATACGACCGGCGTTCTCGTGCAGCCTAAATCCCGTTAGTTTCCTGCGAAAAAAAAAAAAGCCCTTGGCATTGGCCTACCTCAACATATCGCTCAATCCATGGCTTACAGGCAGCCCAAGCCAGTAGTCCACCTGTAGCAAAAATAAAAATAAACACCACCGTTTCATCTTTCCGTGAATCGCGCTCTATTTCGTTAATACTGGAGTATATTTTCCGCTGGGAATCCACTTACGGAAGCAAGTCGTGTACACATCTTCCTCCTTAGCACCTTTGCAGGTCGGTAGCTCGTAGTCGAGACAGAACTTGCGATTGCAATCGTTACAATTCAGGGACCGGTATTTGGGTGCTCGTTTGCTGTATTCATCGGTATGCTCAGGCTCGGAGCTGACAGGGTCGCGCTCGAAAAAGCGGACATGATCGATGCCAGAGGCGCTTTCGGACTTGGCGGGATTGAGGGGGATGATCGTACTATTAGAGAAACAGGTGCATTTGCAGAAGGAGGTTGGCGCTGTAAAGACTCGGTATTAGAACAATCATCAATGCGAAGATAAGTAGCATTTCCGTCTTCCACTTGGCGCTTTGAGACGTCGAAGAGAAGCTAGCACTTACTGGATGCCACCACCGATGATGTAAGAGACCAAAAGGTGAAAAGCAGCAGCAGCAGCTGTATGCTGCGTGATGAGGACCAGCTAGACACCATCCTGGGCATGCAGTGGACAATGCGACAAGTCATGGGTTGGCTGGCTTGAATGACGAGAACACGCGGGTCACATGACTATGTACGCAAGCCAAAGAAAGACCCTGGAACGGCAAAAGATGTCTGGATAATTGGGTGATCGGTATTGAATCAACGGCACTTGGCTTTAAATTACATGGTATTGGTATCAAGGGGCAACTAGCTGCCTCGTTCATGTGTAAACACCATATCAAAAGTCTAGATACACATATCCCTCAACTCGGAAAGATGGGCCTCGACTTCATGACTTTCCCTTGAATCCCTTCTTCCGGTTGTCTCTTTGTCTTTGTTCCTTAGCAGCATCACGCCTCCTCTTCTTCCAGGCGCGATTGTTGTCACCTCGATTCTCCCAGAACCACTTTGCGAATTCGGTTTCTTCCATGCTCGCACCGGCTTCTGGGCGAGCTTTGGTGACAGGGCTGTCGATCGAAACGTCCTCGTCCGAGTCGTCACTCTCATTCCATGTCATATGTCGGATGGCCGCAGTGGTGTCGGGGGTGGGGGCTGCACTGCGCTGACCTCGGTTTTGTAGGTCGTTCTTCGTGAAGGGTGTGAAAGGCGTCTGCGGCTCAGCCATTTGAGGCTCATCCTCGGATTCGATGTCATTGCCGAAGAAGCTGAATCCAGCCTCGGCTTCGGGAGCTGGTTGGTTACCGGATGCTGTCGGGGCGGCACGCTTGAAAAGAGCTTCGAGAGGGTGGACTTCCTTGGCAGGTGAACTTTGTTTCACCTGTTGCGCGGCCTCTATGGGTTTCTCGTCTGACTCTGACTGACTCGGTGTGTCAGCATGAGTGTCGTTAGCTTCTGTAGACTTGGGAGTCTCTTCTCGGGAGTGTGGCTTGACATCCTCGTCAGAAGACGCAGATGAATCTTCAGGATTCTCATCTGCCTTGTTCTCATCCATCTCGCTTTCCGAGTCACTACCCTCCTCAGAAGATGAGCCACTCGATGAGGTATAATCTTCAGACTCGGAAGATTCCTCTGGGGTCTTTTCTCTGCGTGAACGCTTTTTTGTGTCTTTGGCGGCCAATTTGGCGGCCCGGCGCTTCTCCTTGGCCCCTGGAATTTGACCAGGCCGGTAATTATCTTTCAGAATCTTCTCGCTGACGGTTTCTCTCAGGTTCCCGGTAGAATCCACCCAGCCTTTTCCATCTTCAAATGTAGCCGTAGGCGCTGTGTTTTCTTCTGCGGTGCGCAGGAAGCTTGGCTGGGTCACCGTTTTCTCAAATTCATGAATGACATTGTCCTTGGACTTCTTTTTCTTTTTCTTTACTTTCTTATCATCGGAAGTTGCGTCGGATGCTCGGTTTGGTGGGATCGTTGCTCGGAACAGGCATTCGGGTTTGTCGGTGTACTTGGACTTGGGTTGCAATTTTTCTTCCTTGCTCTTCTTCTCTTTCTTCTCCGACTTGCGTCTTTCCTGCTTGGCATCACTGGTCTCGGTCCAGCCTCGTTTCACTTTGCGGTCTGCGGGAAGCTCAAAGCCTTCCACTACACCGTCCTCGGGCGCTGGCTTCTTGGACTTCTTAGACTTTTTCTTGGCACTAGATGGGGCCTCGGGCACCACCTCTTCCTCTCGATGTCGCTTTTGAGGGCGGGCCGCCTCGACCTTGAACTTCTTGCCTTTGAGGATTGAACCGTTCAGCTTCTTCTTGATCTTCTCCGCTTCCATATTTGGCAGCGTCACGTATCCGTAGTTATTCTCTGGGAAGGTGGGAATCTCGTGGAAGGAAATTTCTGTGGCTAAGTTGCGAATGGATGCTGGCAGCACCGAGGGAAGGATATCCTGGGTGAAAGGCGTGATATGCAATCTAGTCGTTTCAGTCATTGCCAGATAATGCTTAGTGACAATGTATATATCACTAATACATGACCTGTGGAGGGTGTTAAAGTATTCAGAGTAAATTTGGGGAGGATTCCAAAAGCTTCAACACCGCTTGGTCGGTTTTTTTTTTTGGGGCAAAAATAATGTACAGACTTATTTTATGCCACCGCCCTTCTGTAGTTGGATTCTTATTGGTTCAGATATCCCCGAGGTTGAAGATCGGATGTTGGCCTGAATTGGCCTGAATCGGTCTCTCAAGTCAGTCCCTTAAGTACCCAAGACCTCACATACTGTATCCAATGCCATAGTAAAACAAGTACTCAGTACTTCAAGATCTGCAAGGTTAAAAACTTGGACCTGTGCGATATCCTATGATGTATACTATTAAGATTGTAATCTACTCATGACCTGACGATGACGATAGATATCGTATGAGATTTAAATATCTGTTGATCTACTATTTACTATCTATACGGAGTACAGCATACAACATATATATGTATACTGTCTACCCCTTATGTGTAGATGTAGTGACATTCAAATGCTCATAGTAATACAGTCCAGACTTATGAGATAAACAGGTATACTTACCTTAAAAAAAGAGATCAAAAAAGAAAATAACATCCGCCACATCCGATACTTCTATTCTTCATATGAATTCAAATCTATAGACAAATTTCGTTTTCTTTACATTTCGGCTTCACCGGGGGTGTAGAAATTCCTCACCGATCTCTTCCCCAGTTACTCCGGACAGATCACCCCCCCGCTCTGAAGTTACTCCTACCTCCACTCTCTGACCTTCTCCCCCATCTCCTTTCTCATTTCTATTGCACCCACAGTATAAAATTCACCCCCCCCCTTTGGGGGTTCTTTCCCCGCCCATCCGGAGATAATCACCGCCTTGTGGACCTTCGCCCATCGCCCCATCTCCCCATCTCCCCATCCTTCCCCTCACCTTGATCTGGGCTCTCCAATATGGGAAACTCCCAGACCAAGGAGTCACGCTCCACAACTCCGTCAAATCGTCGAAGTCATCAATTATCCTCAGGCATCTCTGATGGCTCAAGTCGGCCGTATCAAGGGTCTCGGCCAGCGAGAGGTAGTAGGCCTGACCTTTCGATTCTTGGAATCGGCAGCAGTCATGATCGAGAGGTGGCCACGTTAGAGCATCGGCGAGAGACAAAACAAGAGCGCGAGGCCCGCCGCTTGGAGAAGGAACGGGTGGCTCGTCTCAAAGAGAGGGAGCGCAGTATGAAGGAGGAGCATGTCGATGGAGGCTATCTCGTCACACAAGGCGTGTATGTGGGGACAGAAGACTACAATAAGGTAGTGGTGCGCCAACTGATGGTAGGTTTTGCCTAGGATCCACCCCCTCGATGCGAATGAGCCAAGGCTAACAGGCTAGATTGAACGCCGACTGGCTCCCTTCTGGAGAGGTCTTAATGACTTCTCGGAGTCCTGGGCTGAGCATCAGATCATGGCGGCTGCACGAGGCATGCCCATTCCCTTGCCCGATGAGATTCCCCCGAGTTAGAGTACAAATTATCCAAGATCACCGACAAAGCCTCTGCCGATCCGACAAATATTCAGCATCTCACAGTGCCGATCACGTCCAGATCGCAATCTTATAATTCAGATGTTTCGCAGCCCTCAAACCCCCTCAGTCATTACCGTCCGCATCTCCGATCGCATCCGGGACATCCACCTCCCCTCTTTTCCGAACAAGGGCGAAGACCTTGGCTGCTTTGACCACCTCCAAGCATAACTCACAAACAGATCTAACGCCCCGGGAACTGCAGCTTCCCAAGGACCCATTTGTCAACGGACAGCCCATCGAAGTCAATTTGTACAAAGACGCAAGCGAATGCCCTATCTGTTTCCTCTACTATCCGCCGTATTTAAACCGTACCCGATGCTGCGATCAACCTATTTGCTCCGAGTGTTTTGTGCAGATCAAGCGTCCGGACCCGCACCCTCCAGAGCATGGAGAGCCTAATGCGAATACTCCTCCGGCCGAAGGAGAGCAGGCTGAGTCGACCGAGTCACAGCTTGTCTCTGAGCCCTCGGCATGCCCCTTCTGTGTCCAGCCAGAGTTTGGAGTTACCTATTCACCGCCCTCCTTCCGTCGGGGCCTGAGTTATACTACAGACCCTAGCGCCCGACTCTCCCCTAACTTCACTTCCCCTGTATCCTCAACCTCCTCCCTATCATCTGCCACTGCAGCCGTGCCAGGTCGCCGCCGCGCGACCTCCCTATCCGCCAGTGACCCCACAGTAGTGACAACGGATAGGATTCGGCCGGACTGGGCTACCAAATTATCGAATGCACGAGCCCACGCGGCACGTCGATCTGCGGCGGCGACTGCCCTTCATACCGCGGCGTATTTAATCAATCCTAGTGCATCTGGGAGTGACTCGCGTGGATTTGGCATCGGACGGCGAGGAATGCGAAGAACCACCGGTGGAGAAGGGACTAGCGGCCGGACCGCTTCACCCGCCCTCAATGCATTAGCTTTCTTGACAGAGCGTACCGGTGCTGATCGGACATCTCGAGCGGCTGGGCAAGACACCGATTCTGCATCTGCCGAAGAAGGCGCGGGTCACCCGGCTGCTCCTCGATCGAGCTCAAGGCGCAATCGAATTGATGATCTAGAGGAAATGATGATGATGGAAGCTATCCGACTGAGCTTGGCCAGCGAAGACGAGCGCCTTAGGCGGGAGGAGAAAGAGGCAAGAAAGGAGGCCAAAAAGAGGGAGAAGGAGAAGGAGAAAGAGGCCAAGAAGGCGGACAAGGTGGCTCGCAAGAGTGGATTGTACAGCAATAATGCTAGCGCCTCCGCTTTGGATGTCCCTGGCGAGTCCACTTTTGGTAAGGGGACTAGTAGCTCATCCTCGGTCATAGGCGAGGATATCATTGGTGAAGAACTTGCTGCTGGTGGCAAAGGGAAGGGAGTTGACCGTGTCTTGCCATCGACTGCAGAAGAATCGAACTCCCCCATGCTGCTTGATCCAGCAGCACCAGCAAGCCAATCGGTGGATCAGTCCGAGCCGTCACGACCATCTCACTTGCGACAGGTCTCCAGCGCCTCTTCGTCCTTCTCTTCCGTCATGGAAACCACTTCGAACGATGGCACAGATGGTCGCGCTACTGGAGAGGGTATCACCAACTCTCTTGAGCCAATGCTCAATTTCCGCAGTCTCGCTGCCGTGATTGGCGATGAAGAGAAAGTGGACGACTCTGCGGAACATGTTGAGCATGCCCCTAACAAGCCACGTACAGAAGGCTCTTCCTCAAGTGCCACTCCGTCCGTCCATCAGCCTCTCACTGAGGTGAATCCTGAACCGGCGCCCGTCGTCGAATCTTGTGTGGAGTCCTGTGATGACTCCGGTGCCCTTCCCAAAGAACTTGAGACTCGCTCTGTCGAGATCACCAGTTCCACCGTACATCCTGAGACAACTTCGTGAACTTCTTTGACTATCTGTTCCTTGTTATTCTCCAGTCTGGCTTTCTTTGTTTGGTATCTAGATACAATCCGGACTCCATGGCATGTGTGGATTAGCCGGCGCAGGGGATCATCGGTCATTGGTGAAGGCATTTTCGCTTATCTTTTTCTACGCTCATTGTTCTTGTTTTCTTCTTCGGCCACATTGGGCCTTCCATATCCTCATTTCTTACTTTCTGGTCAAGGATAGAAATTCTTTGTGTTTAGCATTCAGATCGATGAATAGTGAGATTTCTGATTTCTTCAACATATCTACGTAAGAACGGCCGCTATCATGAAATTAATCTTCTGCGATGTCTTTTATCTTTTCTCTACCTCGGGGATCTTTCCCCTTCCAACGTTGGAAGGTTGTTTAGGTAGTATGCAAAGTACAGATAGATGCGGCTGATCTGCGGGTCCAACTCAAATAACCCTGTAGCCTGTGATTGGTCGAGAAGGATTTAAGAAAGCAAGTGGGGAAAGTCATCAATGTTGTTTGTTTCGGTTGTATCCTTGTACTATATATCCTCATATCATATATACATTTATATATCATATTGTATTATATTAGAAACTGAATAGTTAAGTATGGAGTAGTATTGGATACCAAAGGTTCCTAAACCATTGCCGAAATATCCGAACAACCTGTGGTTCGCCAGGTTTGCCACCAGAAAAATTCTTATCGTAACGTAGGAAAAGGTATAAAACTACAGGGATATACAATATTCTCAAAGCTGGCCTATATATAGATTCATAGATAACCTATCTGGCTATTAATAAAATATCAAGAATCTTCAATTGCTTTAGGCAGGGGATCAGTGTCAGATTTTGTCCGTTCTCGGATGTGGAAAAGTAAGTCTTGTTCCAAGTTTCTCCCTCCGACACTTCAACTTCCCTCCTTGTTCAACCTTGTTCTTTGGGTTGCCTTCTCAAGCAAGCATATGCATGGATTGTCTTGAGATTTGAAACTTTTTTTGAAAAAAGAAAACAACAACAAACAAACAACCAACCAACCAGAAAGCATACCTCCCGGCCCGCTGATCAGGTACGGGCAGTGCAGTGGATAACAAGATCTATTCGACAACTGGGTAGATTGCCCTAAGCTGTTAGCTACTTCTGAAGGGCTATGGCATTGATACCACAGGCAAGATCACACCCGTCGTCTGACAGCTTCCCCACTGCACAGCTTTTCCTCCTAGGTATGTCCTGGGCTTGTACGGAGTACTTGGCAATGACTAATTCACCAGAACAGCAATATGCCGGGTTGCAGAGCCCATTGCCTTGACCTCTATCTTCCCCTACTCGTGGGTGATGGTCAAGGACTTCCACATGGATAATGGTAACAATGCCTCCTTCTATGCCGGCATTCTGATTTCGGCATTCTCACTCGCAGAGGCTCTGACCGGTTTGTTCTGGGGCGCTCTTTCAGACCGCCTGGGCCGGAAGCCTATTCTCATATCTGGCTGCGTTGGAACGATGGTCTCTTTAATCTTGGTGGGGATGGCCCCAAACTTCTGGGTCGCACTTGCCGGTCGAGCTATTGGTGGAGCCCTGAATGGAAATATTGGAGTAATTCAAACAATGGTTGGTGAGCTTGTTAAGCGACCTGAACATGAACGTGAGTTTGTTGCCATTCTGTCATATGCAGCGGAGTTGGGAATTAACTTTGTATCTAGCTCGCGCATATGCCATCATGCCTTTTGTTTGGTCCATTGGAACGATAATCGGCCCAGGTATGTATACTCCTCTCATCACGGAGTTTTACCGCAAAAGCTAATCCGATTCAGCCATTGGAGGGTTGCTAGCAAAGCCCGCTGAAGGGTTTCCCTCGCTATTTCCAGCCGATGGCCTCTTTGGGAAATTCCCTTACCTTTTGCCCAACCTCGTTTGTTGTGTCTTACTTCTCCTCAGCATCGTCGGTAGCTGGCTGTTTTTGCAAGAAACTCACCCAAATATTCAATCAGGCGAGGTTCATGGATATTTTGATAATACAGTTGAGCAGCCGCTTCTGGTTACATCTGGCGCAACTGCCAATGCTGGCGTAGATCTGCGAGCGGAGTCTTACGGGACCTTCAATCGGGTTCATCTGCATAATGAGGAGAATTGGGATGTGCAAGCCGATGGCTTCTCGCCCACGTGGAAGAAGTCACGAAAGCCGAAAGCTTTTACTTGGCGAGTCACCATGCTGATAATCGCGTTGGCTATCTTTACTTATCACTCGATGACCTATGACCATCTCTTGCCCATTTTCCTGCAGGACAAGGACCCTCGAGGGTTACCACATTCGCATCACTCGCCCTTTGACATTCCAGGCGGAGTCGGACTTTCGACTCGAGCTGTGGGCGTGATCATGTCCACCGACGGTATTATCGCCCTCGTGATCCAAAGCATCATATTCCCCATGCTGGCACATTATCTAGGCATCTGGCGGCTCTTTATCATCGTTACCGTGCTTCATCCAGTCGCATACGTCATGGTTCCCTTTCTGATCTTCTTGCCAGCCCAGCTCATTTATGTTGGTATTTACGTTTGTTTGATGGTTCGCAATATCCTGTCCATTATCGACTACCCTATCCTTCTGATCCTCATCAAGCAGGCTAGCCCCTCAGACTCCGTCATGGGCAAAATCAATGGCCTTGCTGCTTCGGCTGGGGCTGCATCTCGCACTCTCGCTCCTCCAATCGCTGGCTTTCTTTACAGTTTTGGGGTTGAAGTTGGCTGCACTGGTGTTGCCTGGTGGGGGAGTAGTCTTGTTGCATTAGTCGGTGCTTTACAGCTGTGGTATATCCAGCGCGACAGGCGTTCATCAGCAATCGTGGAGCCAGCGGCTGTGTGTCATCATGTTGCTCTTCCAGATCAGCCACACGAGGAAATCGTTCATCTAATTGTCGATAGAGATGATGCGCGTACATAAACAAGAATAGCGTCAGATCAAGGGGAAAACAAAAGGACGACTGTGTTTGGTATCTCTCTAGAATCCTACACTCATATAATTATAGTCTTCTAATCAGTACTCTTCTAGCTCTAACAGTGAGAGGTAGAAACCATCTATGCCTAAAGATAAACATGCGTAAAAATATATTTATCGACATCAGAGTGGTATCTTGAATATACTAGTCGTGACATCACGGATTAAAGAAATCGAATCGAACTGAAGTCCTACGATGTCATGGACTGACTCTTCTATTGTATTTATATACCTAGGTAGGTAGGTAGTCCCGAGTCCGATTAGATAGTCTGGATGCACCTTTCCTAATTAGGACTAGTTTTGTTTACCAAGCAACGTCAACACGGCAACTCTTTTTGTATACACAAACTCTGCCTTACTCTGCTTTCCTCTTGTTCAACTGAACTGACTCTCAAAACAGACCTGAGACGACCTATCACGACAAAAACTTTCTCTCTCTTTCTTCTCCTGCTTTCGTTATGTCAAATCCACTCTCGCCCCTCTCATCCTCCTACCAGAACGCCCGCGCACAGTCTCAAATGGCGAATTCTTCGCCCTTCATTCACAAAACCCTTGAATACCCCTCAGAACATGTTCCCTCAAGTCCATTGAAGAGGGAATGGACAAGCCATGCTGCGCCAAGTCCGAATGCCTATGATGAAAACGAAACCTATTATCCTAACGAACCCGAGAACGAGAATGAACGCGAGAATGACGATTTCAATGATGTTGAATCATATCAACAAGGTGCCAGCTCACCATTTCAGTTTGACGCACGCGAAGATACCGTAGATTTCCAGAAGCTACGCGAAATGCGACAGACCTCGTTCCAATCACGCCCACAACTTGAACCGGTGAAGGAGAGCCCTGTAAGCTCTCCATTCCGTCCACATGCAACAGACGAGACGTTTGAACTTCGAGGATTGCGTGAGGTGCAGCCCATGTCACCCGGCTTGGACAAGCGGCTGGCTCTAGGGGAGCCAATGAGCTCCCCCTTCCGTCTTAACGCCAATGAAGATACAGTTGATTTCCAGAATATGAACGAGGATGAAGCGTCTTCTCCCATACCAAGCCCACAATTTCAGCCATTAAAGGAGGAGAACCCGGGAAGTTCCCCGTTCCGGCCTCATATCCGAGAAGAGACAGTGAGGGTTCAAAAACTGGGCGACGTCCAGCCCATGTCTCCAGGACTAGGGAGGCGGCTAGCTCTAGAGGATCCTGCAAGCTCCCCGTTTCGTCCTGATGCGCGGGAAGAGACAGTCGACTTTGATCGCTTGCGCGAAATGCAAAATGACTCGCCTATTCCTACAGCCCGGTCATTGCCCGATCCTGCTAGTTCGCCTTTCCCCCATGAGGCAAGAAATGTGACAGCTGATACATTGGAACTGTCTAAAGTACAACAAGTTTCACCAATGGCACCTGAGCATTCCTCGCCTGCCGTGACACCGAATTCCCCCATTTGCCCTGAAGCACCAGAGACGGCTGATCCACGGAAGTCACGCGAGTCGAAACATTACTCGCCAGTGGCTTCCAAACGTTCATCCTTTGCCGCCGAATCGAGCTTGCCCATTCGCGACGAAGCATCAGAGGCAATTGATCCCCCCGGATACATGCTTATACAGAGCCACCGGTAGCCTCCAACTCTCCTCCCTCTATTCCAGTACCCACTTCGTCTTTCCGGCTGAGTCACAAGGAAACCACCCTTGATCTTCATAAATCGCGCCGGGTTTCTCGTGCGTCACTTGGGCTGAGTGACCAGCGCTCTGTTGCAGCAACTCCCCGCAAAAGATCTTACGACCAAACACCCCAGGATCTGGAGGACGATTTACAGGTAAACGAGCGCCATAAGAAGGGTATGGTGAGCCGACCAGATCCACCAGCGATTCACATCGATGCGGAAGAGGAAGCGGGTGTACTTTATGACCAGAGCGTTCTTTCCGCTTCGGGTACCTTGCACGACCGATCAGCAATCGGCAACAGCATGATAGAGGACAGACAAAACGAAGGGATGAGCACAGTAATCCATGAAAATGGCGACAAAGAGAATGTTTCGCTCGAGAATTCGATGGTTGACGATTCCATGGATGACACTTGCTTGAGCACATTTTCCGCTATGCCTGATATGACTACGTTTGCGAAACTCCGCGCCCAGTCGCCGATAAAGTCAATGCGAACCAGTGTCGCCCCTAGCCCAGCTCCTGATATGGAGGGGCGTCGGCACAGTGTCGATCCGGCCACCCCAGGTGCAGGGCGCAGGGCATATAGAGCGAGCGCCTATCTAGATGCAAACACGCCCGTGGGATCGCCTACGCCGAGACCCAGAGGCCCTCGGGACATGGCTCATCCAGTTGACTCCGACAACCTGCTTGATTTTACCGATCAAATGAACTTCTTCCCCCGTCAGTCCCTGCAGAGTACCCGTTTCTCCCCCTCACGGCGTTCGCCCATGCGGTCAGCCCGTCAATCCATTCGATCTCCGGGGAAGATGTCGTCACTGTTGGATTTTGATATTCCGGCTGCACCTACCCCTCGATCCATTCCCACGGTCACTCCCCGTGAATTAGAGTCGCTAAAGTCCGGCTTCCTGTCCGATATATCTTCGCTCAAAGCCACTCTCAGCGGCAAAGAGGCCGAAGTTGCCAGCCTAAAGCAAGCAGTGGCAGACGCTGAGAGACGTGTCGGCGAAGCTTTGGAAGAAGTACGCAACGAAGCCGCCGGCAAAGAGGTGTTGGAGATGGAACAGGCCGAATGGGAACGTCGAGTCAATGAGATGGAGACCGTCTTGCGGTCTGCCCGCTCCGAGTTAGTGGAGGGAGAGCGTGAGCGTGATCGCCTGTCTCGAAAGGCCGAAGAGGCCGAAAAAAGCAAGGAGAAGTTGGAAGGCAAAGTAGTCGAGCTCGAAAGCCAGCTTTCCGCTGCACGTGCTGCGGCTGTATCGAGCACTGGTAAAGCCAGCTCATCTCACAAGTCTCCCAACTCGGCCGAAGACACTGCTCGAGAAGTTCAGGATGCCGTCGAAAAGGTCGCTCGCGAGCTTCATGTGCTCTACAAAGGCAAGCATGAGACCAAGGTTGCGGCCTTGAAAAAAAGCTACGAGTCTCGCTGGGAGAAGCGTCTGCGTGAAGCGGAGAAAAAGCTCACTGCCGCACGCGAGGAAAATGAGCATCTCCGGGTCGAACGTGATACTGCGCAATCTGATTCAATGGCCGCGGCTAACACCAGTCTCTTGGCTCGCGAGAATGAGGAACACGAGGCCGAGAAGCGTGTCATGGATGCCCAGATCAAGGATCTGCAGCGAGAGATGGCTGCTCTGAAGGATGATACCGAGCGAATGCGCGCAAGCCTGGAGTCCGAACGCGCCGAGAAGGGCGAACTTGTTGCCGCTGTGGACGAATGGCTAGCTATGCAACAGGCGCCCGCCCCATCTCAGCTTCAAGACCGCGAGGCCTCTGTAGCATCTTCTGTGCACAATGACCCCATTGACGAGGTAGCTCAACCGTCTCGCGAAGTCACCCCCGATAACTTCCGTCGCAGTGTCACTCGTTCTGTATCTGGAAGCGTCCGTCCCCCTGCCACTACAGAAAAGAGAATTCCTCGATTTGGTGCTCCCGGTGGTCATTCCCGCGGTAATAGCGGTGGCAGATCTGGCATTGCAATGCCTACACCCGGCCGAGGGGGGATCATGAGTTCAATTGAGCGAATGGGCCGCGGCGGTGTTTAGGTTTCATGGATTTGATTAGGATACTTTTCTGACTTTGGTTTTGTTTCTTCGTGGGTCATTCCCATCTTGATTCCCCGGCAGATGTTTTGCGGTTTTATATCGATTCGGTTTATGATGTTTATGTCTACTACAGTTTCTCGGTGTTTGTTAAGATTGGTACGCGCAAGGGTTTGACGGGACTTGGATCACAGAACAGTGATATAAAATGATGTGCAACGATTGGATGGGTCTATTGTGTGTCTTCCAATGTCATTCTGGGCGGGGAGTAAACAGCTTTCGTACTACCTAAGTCTGTAAAGATTATCAATGGGACCTTGGAGGCCAAGTCAGCAGCCTCTATATAAACTTGGAAATTCCCTATGCTCATTCTCACGCCGAGGGTATAGACTTCCCACCCCGGACATGTACTAAGGCAATTTGCATCGACAGCCAGCTCATACTTGAATGGCTAAAATGCCCAGAGGTGGAATCATGGAGCGAGTGGCTGGCTGTCGATATCAAGACTGTAAAGCCTAACGAGTACCTGCAGGATCCCTTGGCTATCAGCATCGCAGAGGGTTTCTAGGATCACTGACGAATACCAGTAGCTCTCCCTGTAACACCTCGCCTACCTCTTCAGGGTATGACTTCACCACTAGTAGATATCGGATGGATCCCTTTCTCTCATGTTTGTTGGATTTGGAGAGATCATTGCGGGCTGTCATTTTCTCTGCGCTGCTTTTTGTCACGTCTAACGCAGGTCTTGCGTTTTGGCATATTGTTGCATGGCGATACACTCTTAGTGAGATCCTTGGAAGGTCTGAGAGGTAATTTTCAATACGGAAGTACTGGACCGAAATATATCAACCATGGAACAATTGACACCGTACCAATGAAAAGGGGTTCCCCGGAAATGGTTGAACAAATCAGACCCGAATTCCCCCGGGCCTATATATATTAAATGTCCCCGGCGGAAGACTGATCTACATTATATAGATGTATATAAATATGATATATACAAGTATCCTACGCATCTATCTCTCTCCGTTTGTACATGTCAGAGATTTCCACATATTGTGTAGTCGAGTTTCCTATTCCCCCCCGCATTTGGAGTACGCCACCCCCATACAAGCTGACAGGCCTGAGATTTTGTTTTCTCCACTAACAAAACGTGGGGGGAAATGCCGGTCTTGCCGTCTCTCTGGATCGAGTGCTTGGCAATTTGATTGAGTGATTTAAGTCAGGTACGTGCGCCTATGATTTTGCTTAAGAGGGAGGAGGTTCCATTTCCGAAACTAAAATATTCGCACTTAGGCCGAGTGTAGACTAGATCCCGTTGATCAGATACATATCAGATTTAGATAGGAAAATTCAGTGCAGTAGGGAAAACGGACCTGGTTCGGATAGCATCGGCCACTGTATTGACGCACAAGCTTTTGACCGAATGGCCGTCTACCCCAGGATCTGGATTTACTTTGTCCGGAAGAGGCCGGAGATGGAAGGTCAAGAGAGGGAAATCAGAAGAATGATTGACCTTTGCCAGGGGTCTGATTGGCGCGACAGCATTCTCCAATTCTGTGTGGACTTCAATTCTAGTCTGAGGCTTTTAGCGGCGTATGGCGTCATACTGGGGACCAGAGGTTACGGAGTTCGCCGTATCGGTGCGTTCTTCCGGAAATCGGCACTTTGTGTCCACGTGAGGATGTTAACTCGGCAGGCCGGGTGAAACACGGATATCCATGCCTTTGGGCCCGTTTCAGGGGTATTCCATTTCGCTCATTCGGGGGGTTGATGGAAGGTGGATGTAATCATATATAGAGTGTGTGTCACATTGAATATCTTTTATGAACTTGTATACGGAGTACGGAGTACGGACAATTTAATTGTCTCAACGGTCAATGGCCCTGTCTAGACGTGGAAGATTAGTCACGAACCTAAAGCTGCACCAGAATGGAGCCTCGATGTACTCCGTATTCTGTGCTAACTTCCGTCCAGGGTGATGATATTATGAAAATCCTATATAGTGTCAAACAACCCTTGATATCTCTACTCGATGACATTCTGTGAATGTTTACATATATATATATATATGTATCTATCTATATCTACATACACCTAGATACGGAGTACATAAGATTCTAGATGTATATATACTCAAGAGATGTACGGAGTACGGAATACGGAGTACGTGCACGTCTCAAGGATAGTCAACTGAACAAAAATCAATCTGGACCATATTACTCATTGGTCCAGACGCTCTTCTGGGACGCCTCCAAAGGGCCAATAACCCCATGGGCCCCGCTGGTCGGAAACTGGAGAACTCTCCAGTCTTGGCTCGGGACAGTCGGGGGAATGTGGGAAAATCCTGAAAACTCCCCTTTCACACGACCCGCAATTTAGGATCTTCCCTTTTTTTTTACTTTTTTTTTAAAAAAAAAATTGTCGGTGATTCTCGGAGGCCCACATGGTAGGGGGGAAAGAGAAATCAAACGAAGAGCGAGAGACAAAGTCGGAATCCAACCGATCTATAGAGAGATCAAGTATAGGGATCAAAGTGAAGAAGAAGATGCTTTCACCATGTAACGTGACCGGGCCGAGGGATCTACCAAGGCTGGCATATTACCTAATTGAGTAGTTTCTTTTGGGTAATATGGGAGTAATATGGGAGTAATATTTCAATACAGAGTAATGTTGAGTAATCTGCAGGTAATAACTGGGGCAGTAATTTACAGACAATCCCCCTCAAACCTTGGCTAGTTGCGGGTTCAACCATGGAAATGAGAAGTGTGGGAACCTGGGGCATAAACCTTCGATTAAATAAAAAAAAGAGGATTTCCCTCTTTCTCTTTTTCAGCTTTTTGTCCTTTTCCTCTTCTTTCTATTTCACATGCTCATCTATGACATTCGTCCCTTTTCACTATCACATGCTTAGGATCTCTATATAACTCGAATGTTCCCCATTCGCCCCCGAACACAATAACGCAAGATGACTGATACCGAATCTGGGAAACGAAAGGCTTCGACCGCCGGGCTCTCTCATAATCGTCCCGTGAAGAGACGTGCCTCAAAAGCCTGCTGCTGTTGTCGTGCCCGTAAAGTGCGCTGTGATGTGGTTGAGAATGGCTCTCCATGCACAAACTGCCGTTTAGATCAGGTTGAATGTGTGGTCACGGAGAGTAAACGCAGAAAGTTAGTGGAATTGAAGAGGAAGAAAAAAAAAAGATTGACTTATAAAAACACCACTGACATGTGATCTAGGAAATCTCGCGTTGAAATTGAGAACCACTCTGAATCTCCAGAGGCCTCGGAGGAGAATCCTTTCCACCGACTCAGTGACCTTCCAGGGTTGGCTGATTTGGTGCCCACCTCTCCCTCGCAGGCCTCGGTGGATCTGGACCAGGGCCAACATATGCCTCATCTGCTATGTTCGTCACTTCTTTTCTTTTTTGGAACTCCCCGGAACCCCAGTTGGCTGACCAGAGAACAAAATAAACAGATCAAAATCAAGCTCAACGCATTGGCTCCGATGGGCACTATCGACGCCGCATGGCCCCGAACCCAGCAGTTCCCGCCTCTATGCCACTAGCCAATGTGACCTCGCAAATTCAGCAATTACTAGACCCCAATTTTGGCAATACACGATCCGCCAGTGGGTTCCTTCCAGATTACATCCGGGGACTGCCGGCACGACTTCAGAAAGAGGACATTGACTACTTGGCCGTCAAGGGTGCCTTGACCATTCCCGATGTCACACTACGGAACGAGCTCTTGAAGAGCTACATTCACTATGTTCATACTTACATGCCCTTACTCGACCTCGAGGAGTTCTTGGAGAATATCGTGCAGAACGATGGAATCCACCGCATCAGTCTGCTGCTCTTCCAGGCCGTCATGTTCGCCGGCGTGGCCTTTATTGATATGAAGCATTTGCAGGCCGCCGGTTACCAGACTCGTAAGGTTGCGCGGAAGGTGTTTTTCCAACGAGCCCGTCTCCTGTACGATTTTGACTACGAGGTGGACCGCATCTCGCTCGTACAGTCGCTTCTTCTCATGACCTACTGGTACGAGACTCCCGATGACCAAAAGGACACCTGGCACTGGATGGGTGTCAGCCTGTCTTTGGCCCACACAATCGGTCTGCACCGGGATCCCGGAAACTCGCGGATGGATGTGCGTCGCCAACGGATGTGGAAGCGGATCTGGTGGAGTACCTACACCCGCGACCGACTGATCGCCCTAGGCATGCGACGGCCCATGCGTGTCAAGGATGATGATTGTGATGTGCCCATGCTGAGTCTCGATGACTTTGAATTTCGTCCTTTCTCCCCCGAGATTGTGGCTATCGTTGGTAACTCGGAGATTCTTCAGAATGTCAACCATCAACGCGAGCTCGCATTGATGTTCATCGAGAAAGCCAAGCTCTGTCTTTGCGTCAGCCATGTATTATCTGCCCAGTATTCAGTCCTCAGCCATAAGTTTGGTGGCACTATGGAGACCACGATGATGCTCGTCCCGAAGAAATCCACCGCGGAGACCTTCGAGGTACGCAGCTGTGACCAGGAATTGGAGGACTGGCTGGCCAACCTCCCTATCGAAACCCAATATGCAGCCTCTAGTGGATCGAAGCTATCCGAAGCAGAGGAAGTGCTTCACTCTCACCGTGCCTTGTTGAAGATGGTCTACCTCACTACATCTAGCGCTCTGCACCGCCCACAAGTTCTCCCCGCAATTCCTTACCCATCCACAGACGCCGAACTTCAAGACATGTCCCGAAATAAGGTGCGATTCGCCGCAGTCGAGATCACTGCCATCGCCCAGGACCTGCATTGCCTCGACTTGACCCGATACTATCCTACCACCGGCGTCACAGTCCTCCTACCAGCTGTCATCATCCATCTCCTCGACATCAAGTCCACCGACCCAAGTATCCGTATGACAAGCCTCCATCGCTTCTATCAATGCATGCGCATCCTTCAGCGGCTACGCGAAATTTACGCCTCCGCAGACTTCGCCACCTCCTT